GACTGCTATCAGCTGATTTAAATCAGAATATCATATGATTTACTATGCCAAGAGTGACACAATCAAGAGGTATTGTGTTGCATTAATTGTCTAAAAAGACATTGCAAATTCACTCTTGAAATATAATGCTGTCTGTGACAGGATTATATCTATCTGCTTTCAAGGAAAACCAATCAATAAACTTATACAGCAACTACAAAAGCTACTGATAAAGAATTTGAAGAATCCTATCCGTTTTTTTCAATTGAAAATTGATCAAACACGCACTCAAGAAGCATTCATAATTACTCGTGAATGAAAGGCAAAAGTTGGAAACAAAGAGGAAGGAAAAGCAATTGGAAAATATGGACTTGGCGATAGAAATGAAGCTGGAGATCGCATGGTAGAATTCTCTAAGAACAATGACTTGCTCATAGCAAAGACTTTTTTTCAACAACACAAAAGGTGAATATACACATGGACTTCTCCAGATGGAATACACAGATACCAAACTGACTATGGTGTGGGAAAATACCTTGGAGAAGCTCGATATCAGCAGCTAAAACCCAGCAAGTAGAACAGACAGACCATCAATTGCTCATATATAAGCTCAGGTTAAATATGAAAACTATTGACAATAGACCTGATGAGCTGTGGATGACATCGTGAACATCATTCATGAAGAACACAAAAGGTTATTAAAAAGACAGGAACAAAAGAAAAGATCACAGTAGATTTCAGTTTCAGACTACTCTGAAACATGCTCTTAATTGCAGAGTAGTGAAACTAAATGTTAGAAATGATGAAGTCAAAGGGCTGAATGGGAAATTTCAAAGGGTAGCCTGAGAAGACAAAGTCAAATATTATAATGAAATATGCAAAGACCCAGAATTAGAAAAATCAAAAGGGAAGGGCACAATGAAAGAACAAGAAAAAAAGCCAAGCCTCTAGTTATAATATTGAAAAATTCTATGGGGAAAATATTGAACAATGGAGGAAGCATACATCAAAAGAATATGGAAAGTATACAAAGAGTCACGGTAGTCAACATTCCACTATTTCAGCAGGTAGCATATAAGCAAGAACCAATCATGCTAAAGGAAGAAGTTCAAGCTACACTGAAAGTATTAACCAAAAACAAAGCTCCAGGAATTAATGGAATACCAACTGAAATGTTTCAATAAGCTGATGGATGAAGGACTGGAAGCACTTATGTGTCCAGGCCAGGAAATTTGGAAGACAGCTACTTGGCCAACTGACTGGAAGAGACCCACATTTGTGCCCATTCCAAAGAAAGGTAACCCAACAGAAGACTCAAATTATAGAGCGATATCATTGTTATCACATGCAAGCAAAATATGACTGAACATCATCCAACATCAGTTGCAGCAGCACACGGACAGGGAGCTGCCAGAGGTTCAGGCCAAATTCAGAAAATGACTTGGAAAAAGTCCATTGCTGCTGTCAGAGAGATCTTGGCTCAACGATATAGATAACCATGAGAAGAGTGAGAATTCCAGGAAAACCTCATTGTCCTCATGGAGAACTTGTATATGGACAAAGAGGCAGTTATGCAAACAGAACAAGGGCATACTGCATGGTTTAAATCAGGAAAGGTGTGCATGAGGGTGGTATCCTTTCGTCATGCTTATTCAATCTGTATGCTGAGTAAATCATCCGAGAAACTGGGCTCTATGAAGAAGACGGCAGCATCAGAATTGGAGGACTTATTAGCAACCTAGGAAAATAAGCAGATACACACCTTTGCCTGCTGAAAGTGAGGAGGACTTTAAGAACTTGCAGCTGAAGAACAAGGATTGTAGTCTTCAGTGTGGATTACAAGACAATGTAATGAAAACTAAAATCTTCATAACTTGGCCAATAGGTAACATCATGACAGGTGGAGAAAAGGTTGAAATTGTCCAGGATTTTATCTGCGTGGATCCACAATCAATTCTCATGGAAGCAGCAGTCATGAGATGAAACGATGAGATATACTCAGTAAAGCCACTGTTCAAGACCTCTTTAGAGTACTGATAAGCAAGGGTGTAACTTTGAGGGCTAAGGTGGGCCTGACCTAAGCCATGGTGTTTTCAATTGCCGTATATGCATGTGAGAGATGGACAGTGAATGAAGAAGACTAAGAAGAACTGATGAGTTTCAACTATGGTGCTGGAGAAGAATACTGAAAATGCCATGCACTGCTAACAGGTGAAACACTCCTGTTTTGGAAGAAGTACAGCTAGAGTGCTCTTTGGGGCCAAGGACGATGAGACTTCAGCTGACAGACTTCAGACCTATTGTCAGGAGAGATCAGTCCCTGGAGAAGGACATCATATTTGGTAGAAGGACATCATATTTGTTAAAAGGAGCAAGGCCCTCAAGGAGACTGATTGACCCAACGGCTGCATCAATAGGCTCAAGTACAGAAACAACTGTGAGGACTGGGCGGTGTTTCCTTCTGCGGGGCATAAGGTTGTTATGGGTTTGAACAGACTGGATGGCACCTAACAAGAAACAACCCTTCCAAAAAGAATTTTGTGATCTTCAATTTAATCATCAAAACAACAATTTTGGCATACTTGAGGGATTCCAATCTCGTTCTTCGAAATATTCTTTAAAGTACAGGGAACAAAATGCAGTTTGAATGAGCAAGATCAGAACTTTAGGGTACATGGGGTAATGGCACAATGGAAAAAAATTCTTCAGCACAACTATCCTGTCTTGTTTCCTCACCAATGGAGTTTTCAATTTTCTTAAAACTTCTTTCAATGATCAATCCCCATGATCAGCCTGTGTCTTTTATAAAAATATTTCAAGATTCCCCTTTTGGGATCCCCAAAACAATCATCAGAAACATCTGAGCTGAGCTTTGTGCTTTGAATTGAACTGAGCTAGGAGATTCCCTAGGAAACCACTATTTTATTGGACCTCGTTCTCTGCATCAAAATGGTTAATCCAAGATGTGTCCCTGGTTATGGTACTTTCCATTAAAATTGTCTTCAATAGCATTGCTCTTGGTTAAAAGACTAATGAAAAGACCTCTATGAGCTAGCCTATCTTCACACTGAGCTTTTGGCTCTGGGCTAAAAGCTTGTTAAGGCCAAAGTAAACAAGCGGCCATCTAGCCCAGAAGCAACAAAGCCCACATGGAAGCAGCACACCAACATGTGTGATAATGAAGGGCCAAAGGGACCAGGCTTTAAACACCAAAGGTGTGTGGGGGGGAATCATATCCTCGTCAATGAGGGTGGCACGTGATGGAGACCCAATGCCCATCTCTAGACAACTGGACATACCTTGCAGAGGGGTAGTTGGGAGGAGATGAGTCACTTAGGGTACAGTATAGCAATAATGAAACCCACAACCTTCCTCTAGTTCTTAAACGCTTCCTCCCCCCAACTACCAGGACCCCAATTTTGCCTTGCAGACCTGGTTAGACCAGATGATGCACAGCAGTACAGATGGGAACTGGAAACGCAGGGAATCTAGGACAGATGAACCTCTCACGACCAGGGGTGACAGTGGCGATACCAGGAGGGAAAGGGGGTGTAGAAAGGGGAATGGATCACAGGGAGCTACATATAACCTCCTCTCTGGGGGACAGACAGCAGAGGGGTGGGTGCAGAGAGACGCCGGACAGTGTAATATGATACAATAATAATTTATGAATTGTTAAGGGTGCATGGGGGAGAGGGGAGGAGGAAGGGAAGGGGAGGGGGAAAAGGAAAATGAGCTGATTCCGGGAACCCAAGAGGCAAGCGAATTTTGGGAATAATGAGGGCAACAAATGTATAGATGTGCTTTACACAATTGATCTATGTTTTGTGATGAATTGTATGAGCCCCAATAAATTGATTTTTTTTAAAAAGGCCAAGATATTCACCTAAAATTGATAATGAAGAACTATTGGAGATTTCAACTTCAGTAGCTTCTTGTTCAATAGTAAACTTTTCAAGCTTCTCGACTTCAACCAAATTTTCTGCCTTCATTGGGGTTGATTTTTTTTCTCTCTTGGGTTATCTTTGATGTTTTTCTGCTTTTCTTAAAAATGCAGGATTCATCGAAAAACGGACAGTTTTCTATGACACAGTATTCCCCTAAACTTGTTGCAAAGTTTCAGTGCCTTGGAAAGATGTCCACTTAAGTTTTGTTAAAAATTCTATATTAGCCCTGACCTAAAAATATTTATTTTCTATAGCACAAAAAACATCCTGTTCTGTGAATGCACCCTAATGAGCCTAAGATAAGTGCATGATGGAAGAATTTGTCTGAAACCATTTGCTTATTGCAAGTACATGCATGTTTAAACACATTATGTTGGTAATAAACCAACATATGCATGTATGGAACCCTAGTAGGAATACTTTTTGATTTCCTATCATATTAAAATTCTCTCCTAATGACCTAGGACATTATGTTAAGAGATACAACATCTACTATTAAATTACTCACTATTTGCTTTTTGAATAATGAACTTGATTTTCCTTTAGTATAAAGAACACATGATTGAACACATGTGAATAATTTACTAAGTATATTTACCACTGTGCTTGTAGTTGCAAGTGAAGAGGGGAAAAAAAAGAAATTTTCTTGGTGGTAAACAGGTACCTCCTATCTCTGCTTCCTTGTCCAATCTTTATTATATTTCAAAAGAGACTGACTCAGGACACAGATAACCTAATCTTGTAGATTATATCCTGTCTCATTAACCTAATCGCCTCTAATCCTGCCTCATAACATCACAGAGATCAAGATTTACCAACCACAGGAATCACAAAATGGAAGACAATTATATAATACTGAGAATCATGGCACAGCCAACATTAAACATTTTGTGGGTTGGGGACGGGTAGGGGGATGGGGGTGGGGCAGGGAATTCAATCCATAACAGGGACCCAATTCTATAGTAATTGCATAGTACTAGGTTTGAACTCAGGTACTGCATTTTGTAGAAAATGAATCTGACGAAGTTTGAAAGGAGTATACAAGTGGTAGGCAGTTCTAAAATCTTTAATTACCTGAAAGCTTGAGTCCTCGTTCACCTACTTGAGTGTCATATCCATGCGGCATTCGAAGAATTGCATCATGCAGACCAGCTAATTTTGCCACTGCATACACTTCCTTCGGTAAAGCATTTATGTTTCCATACAAAAGGTTGTAGTAAATGGTATTATGGAAGAGGACAGCATCCTGGGGCAAATTTACACACATTTACACATATATATGCATGCTCATTATTTTAAAATCTAAATATAAAGGCATGAAGAGTAAGACATGACAATCCCCTTATCACCTCCCTTATCCATGGGCTCTGATTCCCCTTCTCAGAGGTAGCAAGTTATATTTAATATGTATTATTCTAGAATTTTCAAAAATGCATTGATATGCTGAAAGATATAGGCAGGGCTATGACATATAGTATTTTGCAAATTTCTTTATTTAACACAGCTTGGAAATTGTCTACGATTTGAAACATTCATTTACTTCCTTCGAGCCGATTTCGAATCATAGCGACCCTATCAGGACAGGTTAGTAGTGCCCCTCTGGGTTTCTAAGACTTTAAATATTTATGGCAGTAGGTAGCCTCATCTTTCTCATGCAGAGCAGCTAGTAGATTCCAACAACTAAACTTGTGTGTAGCCACCTTACTTCAAACAGAAAGAATTTATACCCTAATTTTTTTACAACACTGACTGCAAGCATTCATTATACTTTTCAATGTAAGCTAGCATAACACACTAAAGCAAATTTATTGAAAATGAGCAATCATCTCATTTTCTACCAATCTCTAAACATTAGAAGTCTAAAAATTTGAAAAGTAAAAGAATGAGCCCATCAGTTTGCATTAACGAGCATACCAAATTAAAATACTTTTTAAGATCATAATGAGGTAGAAAATTTCAGATAGTATTTTATGTAACATTGTAGTCATTTATATATCTACTATTAATATTAAAAATGTATTACAATGATACTTCAATGAAATCACAGTTCTCTAAATAGGAAATACTTATCTTTCTTAAATGCTCTAACATTTAGAAGAGAGTTAAAAAACAATTGCTAACCGGAAAATCAGAAAATACAAAAAAGTAAACTTAAAAATAAGCAACCCATAATTTTAACATCCTATGCAGTCACTATTATGCACATTTTGATTACAATGCCACCTTTTTTCCTTTATGTACTTTTAATAAGATTGAGATAATCACGTTTTGTTTGGTATCTTCTTTTTTCCAGCAAATTATGAGTATTTTTATATGACATTTAACATTCGGTAATAATATGACATTTCAAATGGCCCTCTGACATTTGAATCTATGGTAATTTAACCATCTACTAACTGATGGGTAACTTGCTTCCTACATTTTCCTATTATAAATAATACTATAATGAATGCTTTTGTCTATAAAAATTTGTTCACCTCTCTATTTTCTTACTAAAATGTCTCAGAGAAAAGACTAAAAAATGATTAATGTTTTTCAGGCAGTTGATATACTTGCCAATTTGCTTTTCAGAAAAATAATCTATCCATTTTACACAGCTTTGGTCAAATTGGTATTATAAATTTCAAAATCCTGGCTAATCTGGTGTTTAAAATGATTTTAAGTTGATTTAAATTACTGAGGCCTTCAATGAAGATGTAAGAGAAAGAAGAAGGAAACTGGAAAATTCCACTGAGAGAAAAAAACAGAAAGAATGAAAAAAAGAATAATAAAGGAGTGATCAAGAAGAGGTCAACTGATATATTGCAATAAAACTTACTAATTCAAGGACCCCGTGATTAGAGAACTCTCTCTAATCTTGAGCAAATGCAAAGGGGGAAGAAAATGACCTAAACAAACCTTCTTGCTCACTGTGATAATAAAAAATCACACCCACTAGTGCCAAGACAGTTTAATACCACCTAGGACACTGCCATGACATTTCCAACCGGACTAAATAAGGGAAAGAGAGTAATGGACCTCAAAGGTATCAAAAGTTCCCCTGAAAAAGTATGAATATTCCTCCCCTTAGTTATTATACATTTAGAAAAGTAGAATAAATATCTCTGCACTGTACCAGCCTGGGTCATCTTGTTTCTACTCCCCAGAGACCAAGCCATTCCTTCACTAGATCACTTCTGCTTTGAAATCAATGCTTGGCTGAGTAAGATGCTGTGCCTGTGTGATACTTCTCAAGAGAATAACAAAGATGTGCATAATTTCATTTCTTTACTGACCATGTATATTTTTCCTCTGTAAATACAATATTTTATTTAAAAAAACAAGCAACAACAAACTCAATGCCATTGAGTCGACGCCGACTCAGAGTAATTCTTGAATAACCCTAGAGACTGATAGAAATTGAGTGACATGAATGAGAACATGGAATCCCAAGTAGTTAAAGCCCAGAATTCAATTCACTGGACATGCAATTTAGGTCAATGTTTCTCAATATATATGAACCATATATTTGTTATCAGACTCAACAATGGAATATTAAAGACTCAAGGACCCCACACAGATGTGGGGCTTGCTAGAATTTTTATTATCTGAAGTAGGTCTTGTGAAAGAATTTGAGAATTTTAAAAATGTCCTCAGATGGATCATACACACCAACATTTGGATTCTCAAACAAAAGGGGCAGGGCAATTTGGCATGTGTCAAATCACTTGGTGGCCTCTTCAAAGTTATATATAAGCTGTAACTTTGTTACAGTTATTCTCCTTCCAGCTCCCATATTTTGGTCTGTTCCCCCAGGGTTTGGGGCTATCTACTCCTCGTGTTCTTAGACTCCTTTGAATTTATTTGGCCCCTGTCCGTTTACTTACACAGTCCATACTATGCGTTGGGCATCGTACTTAGAGCTGAGGGTATGGTAGTGAATTAGATATAATAATGTAATGTTTTCACCTAAATTATAATAAAAAGCTTGAAAAGCAAACAAACAAAATAAACTTTAATACTGGCAGCCAAGATGCTTTGCAATTATTATAATTTCAATATTTCAAAATTGTTCAAAAATGCAATAATTGCTTTTACTTACAGAACAAGTATGTGTTGGACATTGTACTTAGTACTTAAATGTATTGGCTCTAATACATAAGCACAATTCTAACTTATACAAAAAATAGTATCCTCTTGTGAAGGGGGAAGAAACCAAGGAACAACCCTAGAACGAATAAGGGTTAGAGCTGGGATTTGAATCTGGATCTGTTTATCTTCAAAGGCTTGTGGTCTTTTCACTATATTAGGATTGAGAAATATTTACATTGTGTACATCTTATTTTTTCCTTTCCCTTTATGGTATCAGAATTTGATCCGGAAGGTCTAACACTATCCAGCTCATCAGCATTTGTTGATTCCCTGAAAACAAATTATTCTAATAAATAGTTTTTAAAAAATAATTTAAAAAAATACCTGAGGCACGACTCCAATTGCCCTCCGAAGGCTTTCCAGGTTCACATCTTGTATATTTTGATCAGCAAGATAAATGCTGCCCTTTTGAGGCTCATAGAAACGAAATAACAGTCTCACTAACGTGCTTTTCCTGAAATTAAAGATGAGAAAAGATTGCTTAATTCCAATTGGCAGTAGGTAAACCATGTTTTCGACAACAGTAATCATTTTATTATGGTAAAGAACAAATATTACATTGGGAAATATCAGTCAATGATGTAGAATTTTATGAATGACTAAATTACCCACCCTGACCCACTACCTCCTACAATGGCCACTTTCTTCCCTGCAGGGACTTCAAAAGATATTCCATTGAGGACTTTCTGCCCTTTAATGTATTCAAAATGCACATTATCAAAGGCCACTCTAGCTGTCTGTGGTGTGATTTGAAGGAGAGGTGCCATTGCTTTGTCCTAGTAGGGATGAGAAAAAACAAACTATGTTATACATTGTTTAGAACATATACAGACACGTTTCTAATTTAGAAAGAAAAAGGAAAACAATGAGGAAAGACGAGATATATAATCACTTCCTAGCTTGGTTTCTAAGATTTCTTTTTAACCCCTCATTCTAAATTCAACAATTCTGACAGCTCTGTTTATTGAACATTTTTTTACTGGGGCTGGATGAAGATGGAATAATGGTGGATCAGGAAGTAAGAAGGGGTAGGGGAGAGGCAATTACAAATTCTTCACCTTAAATTACTAGCAGAAGCAAATCAAGTGAATGTTTAGAATTTCAAGTTAATAAAATTTCGTTTCTGGGCATAATATTCCTTGCTAACATTGTGAGGTTTCCAGACACAGAAGTACAAACTATAACAACCACTTCACAACAACCTCTCGATATGAGTTGGAATCGACTCGATAGCATGGAGTTTGATTTCTGAATTTGTAATACACATGATAAACCCAATTTCTCCAAGAAAGAAATTGGTTTACAAACATGGCAGTATAAGAATATTCTTCTAGAATAATCTTATTAGTAGGATGACGTTCATATGCTTTGTAAAAGGTACTATATAGATTACTTACTTTAATTCTGGTGTCTACCTTGAGTAGAGTAAACAAGGTGTTCATATCTATGAGTGCTTGTCTAGTCTCTCTATATACAGTTCCCAGAAAATTAAGGGGTAGTGAAAGCTGAAAAAGCAGTCCATTCACCATTACTAGATCTCCAACGGTAAGAGTACCTTGAAATAATAAAACAGTTAGCAAAAGGAAAAAAACAAATGGATATTTTAGATGAACGCTACAAATATTAACGATTTAAGAGAATTTAATTTCTATTAATTTGGAATACAGTTCAAAATTATACATAAGAATCAACTTTTTCAAACCAAAACCCATTGCCATCAAGTCAATTCTGACACATAGCAACCCTATAGAAGTACAACTGTCCCTTAGGGTTTCTGATACTCAATGTTTACACAAGCAGACAGCCTCATCTTTATCCCCCTGAAGCAGCTGGTGAATTAGGAACCCTGACCTGAGAACTAGCAGTCCACAGTTCTGGTGTCTACCTTGAATTTTCACTGGGACTCCTTCAAGTAACTCTTAGGCCTACTCAAATTTCAAAGCATTTTAATCCCCGATTTAGGCAATATAAGGAACTTGGTATATGGTAAATGGAATAGACAAAAATTTCATCTGTGCACTATATATGCAATGCATTACATACTATATATATAATGGTTTAAAGTAGGGGTAGAAATAGAAAGCCAGTCATTTCTTTTTTCTTCCCAAGATAGTATCAATGTTAATGTGTGGCATAAGATAAAAATTTTATCAGACTACATATTAAAAATTTGGAGAAAATGACCAGGAACAATAAACCAAATATTAAAGGTCACAATGAATGAATAAATTCTAATTGAGAAAAAAATCACACATATTATATATTTTGAGATGCTTTTCCCATGATCAACTAACAGAAAGATGAAAATATTACTTGAAATACTAAAAAGGATTGCTTGCATATTAGTCCTTTAAACTAAGCATTAAATTAATTACACTACTTTATATGTCTACAAGAGAAAGAAAAAAATATCGATATTAAAAATATAAGATGCTAAAATTAAAAAGTGTCTTATGAGAGAATCAAATTGTAGAACCAGTATACATAATAGAAGTGGAAATGCTCAGCTGGCAGTGTTAAACAAAAGTAAGGATAAAAACAAAACAAACCAGAGTATCAAAGTATGAAGAAAACACGTTCAAGTAAAAAATGGAACGTATTTCAAGGAGGCTGGTTTTATTGAACACGCTTTATAATTAAGATGAATATACATATTCCTCTCATTAATTTTTATTTTTAAAGGTTAAGTAGAACAGTCTAAAATTTAAATAAATGCAGATCCATTACCTGCCATAATTCCTTTGCTTGCAAGCACCATTATAGCCGTTAAACCAATACTGAAAATAGTACTTTGGCCAAAGTTCAGCATAGCCAGAGTAGAGGTACTTTTCAATGAAGCAGACTCATATGTCTTCAAATATCCATCATATCTCTGTGCTTCATATTTCTCATTATTAAAATACTATAGAATACATAAAATTAGTAACTTTATAGGCAAATGTAGCCAAATTTTACCATTTTAATTAGCATACTTGTTAGACATCATGTGTAAATATAATTCTGTTCTACATAATGCATTTTTAAAAACGGACTTTCAATATATTACAGTATGATATTCCTACAATTTTACATCAACTGAATCAAATGAACCATATTTGAAAAGCCTGTAAAATTCATCCAATAAACTATTGACTGTCCAGTTAATTAAAACGCATATCTTAAAAGAACCTTCAATGACACTTCCTTTATACAAATTTCCTGATTCCCCCAAACCCCAAATTGGTATTTTACATTACCATTACATTATGTGTTGTCATATAGTTAAACTGCATACTTACCATAACTCTCCCAGTACATAATGAAGTTCTGGGACAGCAAGGATTATACATTAATAATTTTTTCTACTACTCCATCACACCTCTTAGAGTTAACTGCTTTTCACACAAGAGGCATTCAGTAACAACTGTATTACAAATAATGCACACATAATGCTGGTTTTTACTAAATCCACAGCCCCATTATATGGTGGTGTAGTGGTTACGCATTGGGCTGTAGTCTGCATGGCTGGCAGTTCAAAACCAGCAGCAACTCCATGGGAGAAAGACTTGGCTTTCTAGTCCTGTACACAATTACAGTCTCAGAAACCCACTGGGGTTCACTATGAGTCAGCATAGGCAGTGAATTTAGTTTGGTTTTGGGGGTGTGTATCTTGTGTGTGCACATATGATTTCCATGGGCAGGTTATATAAGAAACTGCGCTCGTTTCTTAATGGAAAAAGGAACACCTCGATGACGTAACGCAAAGCACTCTGCTAGGTACTGCAGAGGTAGGAGAAGGGTCACGAACTTCATATGCCAGTTTGATTAGCTTGGTCACTTTGACCCAAGATGCTAATCATTCTCTGATCCCTTACAAATTAATTTGACAGATAAAATTCTAGTGGTAGTAAACAAAAGCCGAGGAATGAAAGAACTTCAATTTCAATATAAAAATAAAGCAATCAAGTACTATTATCTCATCACAGCTGGACTCTACCTTAAAATTACTTGAGAAAATAAAGTTCTGACTTACAGTACTTATTAAATTAAATGGCAGATCAAATCTTAGTGCAGTGTGAAAGGTAGAAGAATGTACAATTAAAAGCATTACCTTCACAGTTTCATAATTCAGCAGTGAGTCTATGGCAGCATTACCAGCATCATTATCGGCTTTGTTCATTTCTATTCTAAATCTAGTTCTGTAAGACAAAGATTTGTATAGCCATGATACAGTTGCTAAAAGCATAACTAATTTCTGAACATTGACTAGCCCCTTGGGATAGCATACCTCCACCGTGTGACTGCCACTGTGAAGGCTGTGTATGCACCAAGCGTTCCAAGGGCCACCAGGGCAAACTGGGCACCACACTTATAATACTAGAGGAGGCGAGCGGCAGAGAGAGAGAAAAGTCAGTTTTTAATATAACATGGCAAATTGTAGGCGAAATATCTTAATAAAAGCTAAGTTCTAGAACCAAATAAAACTTCATGAGAAAATAAACCCTGGAAAAATTTACTTCATGTACCAAGGGAAGAAAGACAAACTTCACTTGCCACATTAATTTAAAAACAAAACAAAACGAAGAAATATTTGCCACCGTGTTGACTCTGACTTCTAGAGTAGAAAACCAGTTGAATTTGACTGATGGCAACCTCATGTTTATCAGAGTTGAACTGTGCTCCATAGAGTTTTTAATGGCTGTATATTCAGAAGGACATCACCTGGCCTATCTTCTGAGGTGCATCTGGATGGACTTGGATTACAAACTTTTTAGTTAGCAGTTGAGAACATTAAATATATGCAACACCCAGGGACTCCTGACACACCAATACTACCCTTAAATGCTAACAGCAAAATAGTAAAATAAACCTAAAAAGGATTAAAGAATATCCATTTCATTCTGTTGCACATAGGGTTGCTATGAGCTGGAATCCAATCGACGGCACCCAACAACAACGTACAATTTTAGCTATAAAATATAAAGTTGCTTAAAATGTTATGAATGGTACACAGAAATGTAGATGTACTGAGCATACGAGACTAATATCATACACAAAAATATCTGCTAACAAAAATGTTAAAGCACTACTTCCTGACTATTTGTAGAACTGGCACAGTTCTTCACAATTGTAACACAATAAAAATGTGGACAGTCCCTTGAAGCTTGTGGTAGAGAATGTAAAAATAGCATAAGCTTTCTGGCATCATGAAATTTTCTTTCAAATTCATAGGCATAAAATAGCACAATAGCTTTAGATACTTAATAGCTATTATGAGAATGAAAACATAAATGCTTAAAATGTTCTACTTACCAAAATACCACTGACAAGAGTCACCTCAAATATGATGGGAAGAAGATTAAATACCAAAGCACTCAGGACAAAACTGATGCCCCTTGTTCCTCTGTCAATAGCCTTAGATAAAGCTCCTGTCTGTCTGCTTAGGTGGAATCCAAGATCCAGGTTGTGAAGATGGAGAAAGACATTTTTGGCTATTCTTCTAATTGAATTTTGGGCGACCTTGCCAAATACTGCATTTCGAGCTTCATTAAAAAAGGCAGCACCAGCTCTTGATACACCATCTAACAATACATTTGAAAAAGAATAGAATATAAAAATATTAGAACCATAGGAATATAAAAATGAATAATTCAATTACTGACTATATCACAGGACAAAACAAAATAATAAAAAGTAATTCAGCCTAGTAAACACTAACCTTTCCACCACAACAGATTCCTTACAGTGCTATTTTTTCCTCAGAGATTCTAGATATTTAAAATCTTTTTTTCCAATTAAAATATTTTAAGAACAATAACCCAAGTGGCCTTATTATAGATAATTATATAGTATCTATTAAGGTTATTTTATCTAATACAATTCCCAAATTAACAAAAATAAAATAAAATTGAGAACCTGAAAACTCAGTGCCTGAGAAATCACTGATGTCCCCCGAGTCTCATAAAATGTCATTTCTAATGCATTCAGACAGTGCTCTTCTGAAACTGTAGATGTGTCATTGCGACTGAGCGTAATTTAATAAAGTACAAACAGTATGTACATGTATAAATTATTTAACTATTTCCTATGTAAAAGCCAATAATAACAGGAACAAAATAACTAACCTTACTGGAAAAGTATCTTAAAAGGAAACTAATTATATAAGTAGTGGTTGTTATGAATTTCATATTTTATACCTGTTTTCTAGAAGAAGAAAAATACATCTGTTATCAGGAAATCTTTGGAAAGGATACCAAAGAATTAAAAACCCTCACATAAAACAATAAATCAACCAAATTCTAATTTCTGTTATGGTGAAAAGGTCATGTGTTCATGTATGCTAAAATCTTCTTGTAAAAAGTCAACACATGCAGACAGGTTAAAGGTTCACATACAGCCGATCAAAACTGATACTGCCATGGTTGCAACTGTATTTGGTGCATCACTCAGGTGCAGCATGTTTCCCGACATCTGGTTGAGGCTGTCTACAGCATGTTTAAACATGAAGGGGACCACAATATTCATGGCCTAAAAACATAAAAACAGCAACTAATCACTAATATGCAAAATATATGCTTACAAACATACAAGTATTGACATAAATATTTATAATAATATTTAGATATTAATAACCATTTACTGATACTCAAACCATTTTCTTAATTTATAAAGAGAGTATTTGGCAATGGGAGAGCTCTTACTACAGGATTCTTACATCATATTAACTGCCATTTAAATACTGGCAAGATATGCAGATTAGTCAAATGTTTCGATTTTCATGAAACCATGCCTAGCTGTTAAAAAATGCTCCCTCTGCCATATGAAATTCTAAAGAGCTTATAACATACACAGAAAACTACCTAATACTGTATTTATTGATATGTTTTCCTATGCTAGTGAATCCTAGGAGGATCTGTATCATGTATTAAGCTTTTTGCCTCATACTAAGTAAAATGTTTTATATACAGTAAGTATTCAATAAATAACTGTTGAATAATTTTTTCAATCAAAAAACTGATATACAGAAACACAAGTCTCAAAAGCCATTTTCCAGCCTGCTATGTCAGAAGCCTGAAAGTCATTACTCTCTCCTCGCAACGAGGAAGCCATGCTTGGTAAGGTATAAAGGGGCAGGCCCTCAACAAAATGGACTCCCACAGTGGCTCCAACAATGGGCTCAAATATAACAGCTGTGTGGATGGCTTAGCACCAGGTGGTGCTTCGTTCTGTTGTAGACAGATAACATAATCAGCGAGACAGAAACTCTAAAATCAAACAAAAATTCTAGAAATCAAGAAATCTCAGGACTGGATGGATGGTTATCAGATAACAAGCATGGGACGATCCCCTTAGAGAAGGTCTACTCAGAGGGGTAGACTAGACTTCCTGGCAGTACGAATCTCAACATAAAGCTACTTCGGTAGACCAATTTCCTGAAATGGGAGAGCAGCAACGTCGGCTGCGTTTACTATTGACCAGCAGCACGCAAGCTGCGGTGGTCCGGGCACAGCTGATTTTCCTGGGCCCTGAGGTAGGTAACCCAATCAGCCAAATCTCTTACCTCAAGGACCTCTGAAGATGGCTCTCTGTGACCAACTTGGTGCCAACATAATCCATGCCCAAGCTGGACTTCCTCTTGCTTCTGCTTTTTCTCTCCCTTCTCCCTTCTTTCCTGCTTTAGTCTATGATGCCCTCCCACCACCACTAAGCCATCTCTTCCCTACACAACATACATGTTGTTCACAAAACAACACCATGAAAAAACGGTATCCCAAACCCACAAGGTGGTTTTATCCTTTACTTTATATTATCTTGTTTGGTTTTCATACTCCTGTTTCATTACGATAGTTTCATACTTTGGGAGTTTTGTCTCACTTCCTTTTCCAGGAGCCTCTTTCAGTGCAGCCTCACCCTCCTGAGAATCCCCTCGAGGCAAAAACGGGTAGTCCTTTATATCTTGGTACACTCACCAAAACAAGTGCCTTTACAAAATGTTCCCCTCTGAGTACACTGACATGCCCAGATTCATGTTGTCACAGCAACAGAAATTAGTGACCACATGACTTTGTCTCTGTTGTTCCTTGTCTCTGCACGTTCACCCACTATCTCTTTCAGCTCTCTCTCTTTTTCCTTGTGAAAAAATGTTTCAGTGACACTTATAAATTCTGATTACCCCTCTTAAAATACATTTCCCCATTAGTGATACAATTTTCCATCTACCTAGGCAGCCGCTTATTAACTAGCATCCTTTTTATTTTACTCTTGTTCTTCTTCTCTACCACTTCCCCAGTTACTTATTTCACTCTCCGTTCCCTCTAATGTCCAGCTCCTATTAGACCTCTTCCATGTCACTAAAGAGAACCAACTACCTCTACATGGCCCAGCAGTGCGCACATCTGCGCACATATTCCAAGGAAATAGCAGTAAATCACAGTAACCAACACCCCTCCCCCTAAAAAAGAATCACAAAAAGCAAATACAAACAACCAAAAATCACCTAAACTCAATGGAGTACTCTGAAGATGGGGCCATTAAAGTACCAGATACAGAGTTCAGAATAATGCTTGTGTCCTATTAAGAGATGTGGAAAGGACTCATGAGAACAGAAGAAATTGAAAAACTAAAATACTTAAACCATAAGGGATCCTAGAAGAAAAAAATGAGGTAACAGAGTAAAATGCCCGAGGAATAGAAGGAAAACAGGTGAAAATGCAAGCAGTGAACTCAAAGACTACAGTTAACAAGTGAAACAATCAACAACAACAAAAGAAGGTCAGAAGAAAATCTGAGAATACCGTGGGACACTATGAAGAGAAACAACCTATGTTTCATTAGAATACTGGAAAAAGGAGGGGAGAAAATAGTACGAGAAATCATAAAAGAAAAGCCCCTTCATGTCATACAGGAGAAAGTAATTATTCAAGAAACTGAGAGAACTCCAAAGAGGATAGATCTCAAAAGAAAAGCACAATGACATATTGTAATCAAACAATCCAATTTAGAGGAAAAGGAGAGAATCACAAGGGCAGAGAAATAAAAGAACAGAGAAAAGCCAATAAGGATAAACTCAGACTTCTCAGCAGAAATCAAGCAGGCAAGATAACAATGGAGTGACATATACAAAATCTGGAAAGAAAAAAGAAATTAGCCCTCAAATAGGAGGAAGAAATAAAGTTATTTCCAGACAAGGTAAAACTAAAGGAATGTGCAAAAACAAGATCATCATTACAAAAATATAAACTGGATCACTATAGACAGAGAATCAACATTGCTCCAAGGAGATGATCCATAAGATTCTCTACCAGAAATTAACAAGGGTGTCTCTCGGGTGAACCAGAGGTTGATTTAAAAAAACAAAAAAAAGCATAGATTCAGGAATGGATTTGGAGCTCACACTTAATCCTAGCTCTAATCCAAGAACAATTAGTTCTTATGACTTGGCCTTGTTGTGCCCAGATGAGATCAAGTAACCCACACACAACTTTAATTAAACTTAATAAGCCTTCATTAGCCACCCCTAGTGCTTAAAGAGGGGAGTTTTTATACTGTGGAATAAGCAAGGCACAAGGGCAGGTGGCGTCATGCTACATGGAAAATATGAATTTATAAAAATAAAATGGGGGTTTACAAGCAACATCAGCAATTTCAAAAATAAATGCCATTAAAAAAGTTACAAAAGGAATTACATTTGTTACAAAGTGACTACACTAGGGTAAATACAAAATGGCTACACTCAGGCTAATTAATACACTATTAATTGTTAAAATGGCTACATTTAAGTTAACTACTGCATTATGGTTAATTGTGGTTAATTGTGGTGGATTACTTCAGCCCTGCTTGATACTTGCCCTGATGAAGGAATCACAGAAGATACGGGTGCTATAGCAAAATGTGGTGAAGAAATTGCATAGTGCCCGGCTTTCAGATAGAATAGCATCTGGGGTCTTAAAAGCTTGCTTCCAAACAAGCAGTCATCTAAATGAGAAGTCATCTAAGCCCACACGAAGAAGTACACCAACATGAGTGGTCAGAAGATTGTAAATTATATAATCCAAATCTGAAAGAGGGAATAGTATCAAAACTTAAAACTGTGAGATTCTGGCATGCAGAAAGTATGGATAACAGTGAAAGCCCACAATACATCTGAAATAACTACACAGGAAATAAGCCTGCGGTGATTTCCCTCTAACCATAATTGAGGGATGGGAATAACCTGGCTATCAGACAGAGGGTACTGGAGAGATGACTATAGTAAATTAAAATGATAAATCTGATTTTAATGGTTAAAACCTTTCACTTGATATCGCTTCTGATACAATTTGGGCTTGATCTGGATTTTGATATTTTCTGTGCAGCTTTTTTGTTTTCCATATTGGGGGTTGGGGTTTGTCTCTGTTGTATTTTGTCATTGTTGGTAGCCTACTTCAATCTCTGTATGTAACTTTCTATGTTTTCCAGTATATGAAACCCAAGATGGGTGAATCTATAGACACAAAAACTAGACTAAGAAGTCCTGGAGGGCACAGCACGGGAAGCTAGAGGAGTATAGGGGAGCTGATATCAAGGAGTTCAAGAAGGAAGAAAATGTTTTGAAACTGACTGTGGTCATGATTGTACCATACTGCTTGATGACTGAACTTTGGAATGGTATGATGTCTGGATTAGCTCCTAATAAAATGGTTCGGGGTTAAATAAAATAAAAAGGAATGCTCCTTAGAGGCAAGAATGGTAAGACTGTCTTACATAATATTTCAGACATGTTGTCAGGAGAGACCAGTCTCTGAAGAAGAACATCATGCTGGTAAAGTGGAGGGGTAGCTAAAGAGAGGAAGACCCTCAAGGAGATGGACCGGCACAGTAGTTGCAACAATGAGCGGAGGCATAGGAACGAGTATGAAGACGACGCAGGACCAGGCAGTGCTTCATTCTGTTGTACACAGGGTTGCTATGAATCTGAACTGACTAGAAGGCATCTAATAACAACAACCATTTACATAAGCACCACAAATATGAAAAACTCCAATATAAACCCTGCAAAATATGTATAGGATCTATATGAGAAAAACTACAAAACTCCTGATGAAAGAAATCAGAGAATACCTACATAGATAGATAACCCGTGATCCTAAATGAAAGAAGAACAAAGCAAACCCAAACAAAGCCTGTTGCCATGGGGTCAATTCTGACTAAAGGTGACGTCATGTGTCACAGAGTTGAACTGAGCTTCAAAGGGTGTCCTTGGCTACAATCTTTATGGGAAGAGATCACCAATCCTTTCTTCCATGGAGAGCTCTATGGGTTTGAATCATCAAACTTTAGGTTAGTAGTTGAACACAAACCATTGTGTCACTCAAATACCTAGGAAGATTCAGTGTTTTTAAAATATAGAGCAAGCCTTTGCAACTTCATCTATCATAATCATAATAATCCCAATATAACATCAATATAATACCAATCAAAATACCAGAAAGTTATTTTGTAGACATCAATACATTAATTCTAAAGTTAATATAGAATAGCAAAGACCCACAATAGTCAATACAATATTGAATAAAAGGAACAAAGTTCAAAGACTAGCACTATCCAACTTTAAAATACACTATATAATTATAGTAATCCAAACTGTGGGGAACAGAATAGACAAAGAGATCAACATTAAAAAAGTGAAAGGCAAGTAACAGAGCAACACATATAGAGTGAATGATTTTTGATAAAGTAGTAAAGGCAATCCAAGGGAGAAAAGAGAGCCTTTTCAATAAATGATGCTAGAAAACTGGTCATTCACATGCAAAATAAGAAAAAAATTAAGCTAGCTCTAGTGCTTAAACTTTTCATAAAAACTGATACATGTCATTACAGACCTAAATATAAAAAATAAAATTGTAAAACTTCTATCCTAGGAGTTCCTATCCTATGTGTTTCTGGGTCCAGCAGTGACTTTTTACATACAACACAAAAAGTGTAATTAAAAAAAACTGATAAACTAGATTTCATGAAAATTATTTATAATTTATAAAGTGATAACATGGGGGTGGGGGGGGAGAAGCTGATACCAAGGGCTCAAAAGAAAGTAAATGCCTAGAAAATTATTATGGCAACATATGTACAAATATGCTTGTCAGTATGTGTCAATTATCAGAATTCTAAAAATATTTCAAATCTTAAGGAAGTTAGCTTAGAACCTGGATTTTATACTTTGATAATGAATGTCACCAAACAGCAAAAATCCACATTTTGAAGGACTGGAACTGACTCTAAAGATATATCCTAATACAAATGTCACTATGTAAGGCTCTTCTCTGGCTAGCTTAATTAGTCATGCTCTAACCAGTTCTCTTTAATTCAAAAGAAAATCCAGGGGGACAAAAATCTGCTTTTAACTTGCCACTAATATACTTTCATTCAGATAATAAAGGAATAAAGGTCAATTAACTCATTCTGCTTCATAAATGGGGGGTGGATCCTAAAAGCTGGCAATGCTCCTGTAAATATAGTCTAAATTAACTCATGAGTCTTAATTAGAAAATATTGTATTATTTTTCTTGTTATAGCAGCAAACAAACCATTACTTAATCCTATTACCTTTGCACCAGCCAAAAAACCCAGGGAAATGGCAACTCTGGCACGTAGGTCAGGCCTGTCCTTGGGCCACACGTAAGAAAGCATTGCTTTTATGATTTGCCGAGTATCAACATCTTTTAGCTGTTAAAAGAGAAAACAAAGCAGTGAGTAAAATATAATTTCAGTTGTAATGTTCTATAATGTTCTATAATGTGGAATTAATAACTATTCAAGAATAGAACTTTTATTCTTTTTTAAAAAAACTTTTAATCTTAATCAAGGACCTGTATCTTTTAAGCATAAACTACTTGGTTAAAACATTAACTCATGTAATAGCTTTAAGAAGCTAGTAATTTCTCTTAATTTCAACTACAGACACATCATAATGCCAAAAAGTTATTCAGTGAAACTGGAAGGACAAATCATTATAGTTTTTAAAATCTACGAAGTTATTCCAAAACTACATAAATATAATTAGTATTTCCCTATTACCTCCTTTGTGGTCATAAGCGTTACATACCGTATATACTCATGTACAAGCCAAGTTTTCCAGCACATTTTTTATGGAGTTTTTTGGTAAAATTAGGTGCCTCAGCTGTTATTCGGGTCGGTTTATACTGAAGTATATACAGTACTTTTAAGCTTTTTACCAATATTTTCATTTAAAATACATTGGAGGTCTTAGTAAAAAGTAGTGGTAGTTCAAAGTTACAATACAGTATTACATACAATACAGTATTAATACAATACAGTATTAATAAAGTAGAAGACAAGATGTTGACTATATAAGGCCATTAAACTTCAACAAAATTGCATGTTTTCATTCATGCTTAATATGACTTACCCTAAACTCATCTTTTTCCTTTAACATGCTCCCTAAGCAACATTCCCATTGAACATTTATGCTTGCTTCACTTTCTTATACTTATAATGCTTCCTTAAACCAAAAGAACACCAAGACTCCAGAAACAACTATATTATTATTAGTTTTGGTGAAACAATTCTCATTGGAAAAGAAACAAAAATATGAGGGTAAGTAAAAAGTATTAGTACAAATTCATGTTGTTGTTGTTAGGCGCTATCAAATAAGTTCCAACTCATGGCAACCACAAGAAAACAAAACAAAATACTGGCCAGCCCTGAGCCATTCTCGCAGTTGTTCTAATGTTTGGCCCATTGTTAATGCATCTTTTAAAGGGTCTTCCTCTTTTCAGCTGCCCCTCCTTCACTTTGCCGAGCATGATGTCCTGCTCCAAGGACTGATCTCTCCTGTAACTTGTGGCAAAGTAAGTGAGACAAATTCTGCCATTCTAGTCTCTAAGGAGCCTTCTGGCTATATATAGTTTTCCCAAGACAGACTTATTTGCTCATCTGGCAGTCCATGACTTTCAATATTCTTCATCAACACCATAGTTCAAAAGCATCCATTTTTGTTCAGTCTTCCTTATTCAAGTTCAAAAGCATCCATTTTTTCGTTGGTTTCCTTATTCAATGTATAAATTTCGCATGCATATGAGGGGATTGAAAAACCATGACTTGCATCAGGAGCACCTTGGCCCTCAAAGTAACATCCTTGCTGTTCAACAATGTAAAGAAGTCAAAGGCAGCAGATTTACCCGATGTAATCCATTGTGTGATGTCTTCACTGCTGCTTCCATGAGCACTGATTCTGGATCCAAGCAAATGAAATGCTTGATCACTGTCAACCTTTTCTCTGTTTATTATGGCATTACCAGTTGGGAGGATTTTCGTGTGTAGGGGGGGGGGCGGTTTACACTGAGTTGTAATCCATACTGAAGATTGCGATCAGGTGTTTCGGCTGGTTGCAAGCCTTACAGCCTCAAGGCTACTTCACCAAAGCTGGAGCGCTGACTGCTCAGGCCATGAGGGTACGTGGTTCCATTGGGGCTGCAGCCAGGTGCTACATGGCAACTGGAGGTGGCATCCCTACTGACAACGAGGAGGCAACAGGGCTGGAGGAAGGTCATGATGGCTGTTTCAGAGGACTGGAGCCATACAATCTGCTTGCTCCAAAGGCAGCTGCAGGCACCAAAGAAGACCCTCATTTACTTCCCTCCAACACCAACAAGTGAATTGTGGGCTGCATCTGTTAAGAAGATAGCAGTGCTGTCATCTGGCTTTGGTTGCCCAAAGGTGATGCTCAGCGATGCCCTAACTCTGGAACCCATTAGAAGCTGGTGCCCCACCAGTAAGCCCCTGCACTAACTCACTCTAAATGTTTTCTTCTTGTTGATAAAGATTAGCTATTGCATTGGCTCCTTCTCCCACCCCTCAATCCTCCAAAAAGGCTTCAATCCTTGATCTTCATCAGCAAGTACTTCAAATAATTTTCAGCAAGCAAGATTGTATTATCTGCATATCTTGGGTTGTTAATAAGCCTTCCTTCAATACTAATGCTTCCCTTTTCATATAATCCAGTTTCTCTGGTTATTTGCTCCGCATACAGATTGAATAAGTAGGGAGAGAGAGTACACCACCGACACACACCTTTCTTGATTTTGAAAACATGCAGCATTCCCTTGTTCAGTTGGCACAACTCCCTGTAGATCTATGTACAGGTTCTGCATGAGCACGATGAAGTGTTTTGGAACTCTCATTCTTCTCAAGGCTATCCACAGTTTGTTGGGATCCATAAACATAAGTAAACGTCTTTCCAGTATTGTTTCAAGGCAAAATCCAGCTGACATTAGCAATGAGATTCCTTATTCCAAAGTCCTCTTCTAAATCTGATCCGAACCTCTGGCAGAGCTCCTTGTCAATGTACTACTGTAAAAATTGTTGGATGATCTCTAGCAAAATTGTATGTGATATCAATAGTATTTTTTTACATTTTGGACATCCTGCTGGGTCACCTTTGGAATGAGTACAAATATGTATCTCTTCCAGTCAGTTGGCCAATTAGCTGCCCTCCAAATTTCCTGGTATAAACGAGTGCTTCATCAGCTTGTCGAAACACTCCCACTAGGAGCCCATCCATTCCTGGAGCCTTGTTACTGGCTAATGCATTCAATACAGTTTGGATTCTTCCTTCAGCTCCATTGGTTCTTGCTCATATGCTACCTCTTGAAATGGTTTTTAGGTCTTTTACGTACAATGACTGTGTACTACTTTCATTTCCTTTTGACATTTCATGCATTATTCAATTTTTTTATTTTGTCCATAGAATCTTTTGATATTGCAACTCAAGGCTTGACTTTTTTTTAAGTTGCTTCAGGTTAAGATATGCTGAGCATGCTCTTCCTTTGTGGTTGTCTTACCCTAGGTCCACACACATTGCATTATAATATTTTACTGTTTTCTCGAGCTGCACTTTGACACTTTCTGCTTAGCTCTTTGACCTCAGCATTTCTTTCATTTGCCTTAGCTATTCTATTATTGAGAGGAAGTTTCAGAGTCTCCTTTAATATCCGGCTTGATCGTTTCCTTCCCTCTTGTCTTTTAAATGACCTTTTGCTGCCTTCTTGTTGAATGATGTTACTGAGGTCACTGCACAGCTTATCGGGTCTTCTGTCATTTGAGTTTAATGCCTCAAATCTGTTCTTGAGATGTCCTCAAGGTCCTATTTTAACTGTCCATGGACTTGTTTTCATTTTCTACAGCTTCAACTGCACTTACATATGTGCAATTGATAGTCCCACAGTTGGCCTTGGTTCCCTTTTAGATTCTGGGATTGAACTTCCCCATTGTCTCTTACCACCAATGTTATCAATTTGATTTCTGTGTCTCCAATTTGGAGAAGTCCACATCTCCTTCTGTATTGTTGAAAAAAGATACTTGTAGTGAAGAAGTCGTTGGTCTTGCAAAATTGTTTCAAGCTATCTCCAGCTTCCTTTCTATCTCCAAGGCTGTATTTTCCAACGACTGTTCTTTCCTCTGTTCCCAACTTTCACATTCCAAGCGGCAATAATTAACAGTGCAACTTGACTGAAGTTTGCTCAATTTCAGACTGATGTCATTGGGAGAATTTTTCAGTTTCTGAATCACTAGCTTGAGGCTGGTATATAGATTTGAAAAATAGTTGTACTGATTGGATTGCCATAAATGCAGATAGACATTATTCTATCAGACAGCATTGTATTTCAAGATACACCTTGAAATATCCTTTTTGATGATGAATACAAAGGCATTGCTCTTGATTACGTAATTTCTGGCATATGATTTTCTGATTCAAAATGGCCAATACCAGTCCACTAATGCCTAGAACTTAGATTTTGTGTGTGTGTGTGTGTGTTTACATCTTTGTGTGTTCTATTTCATTTTTAGCAAATTCCAATTTTCCTAGCTTCATACTTTCTACAATACAAGTTCCACTTATTAATTGATGTTTGCAGCTGTTTCTCCTAATTTTGAGTTGTGCCCCATCAGCAAATGAAGGCCCCGAAGGCTTTACTTATGGTCAACTCTACTTTGAGAAAGCAGCTCTTCTACAGTCATATTCTATGCCTTCTCACCGAAGGAGCTCATCTTCGGGCACGATCTCTGACAAGGTTCTGCTTTCCTTAGTTAGCGTTTTCAGTGGCTAATTTCTCTGAAGTGGACAGCCTATTCCTTCTTCAAGGTCTATTCTTCTGGAAGCTCTGCTGAAACCTGTTCACTTTGGGTGGTCTTGCTGGTATTTGATATGCCAGTGACATAGTATAGCAGCAACACACAGCCACCACAGTATGACAAACTGACAGACAAGCAGTGGTACAAAACCAAAGAAACATTTATTTAACAAACGTATCAAAATGAGAAACTATTCTTTTCCCTCCAGCTCTCTCACTGCCATTGAGTCCATGCTGACCCATGGCAACCCTATAGACCTGCCCCTGTGAGTTTCTGAGACTGTAACTCTTTATGGGAGTAGAAAGCCCTGTCTCTCTCCTGGACAGTGGCTGGTGGTTTCAAACTGCTGACCTTGTGGCTGGCAGCCCAATGTGAAGCCACTAAGCCACCAGGGATTCCTCCAGCTAGGTCTATATATATTTCTAAAGAAGGTAATTCCAAAACGCTAACTCTTCCTCCAAATAGTTTTGCACCCTTTGATTTATATAACACATCAAAGCAGCAATTTTGGCAAGCTTGAGGGATTCAAATTTCAATCCTTTTCAATGTTCTTTGGGTTTGGGAAACAAAGA